AATAATGTACAGTATTTGAAAAATAATGTGTTTTTTGAACATTAAAGCATGTCAACATATTCTGTTACACCAAATACAAAAAATAATGATCTTTAAAAAAGCATCATATGACCCCTTTAAATAGATCCACAAGTGGCACTGTGAAAAAAATAATTATATATATATATATATATATATATATATATATGAGTAATTTTTAATGAAATGTAATGAGTATTTTAGTACATAAATGTGTCATTTCTTCCCCATAAAACAATATAGAGTGTAAGATTATGTTTTACATTTAAAATACATAGAATGCCTTTATATATGAAGACCAGATTAAAATCCGTTAACTGTGATAATTATATACATGAGAACAGTGTGTGGGTCAGAGATGTACTATATGCTGCTGTTTCTTATTTTCTCTTATTTCCTCTCTAAAGAGTGGTTTAGGATTTGGTATCATGAAGAATACTGTATACAGTATGTCCTCCTAGACAGATCGGAATAAGATATTTGAGTTCTTCGTCTTTATCCGTATTTGCTTCCTCCGGCTGTGATCTGAAAGAGAAAACATTGAACATTCAGAATCAACAACAGACACAAATTTTCCTGCTTCACTTTTCTTGTGGTGTAGCCTAATGGAACCCAAGTTGTATGTTTGAGCATGCATCATCATTATTGACACTAAACTGCGCAGTTCTCCTCAATTATAATATCAAAGCCTCTAAAGTAAGCAAGGGCTGCAGAAAACACACCTTTCATGCACATTTTCATGCAGTGTCTCTTGTGGACAAAGTTGTTTTTGTTGCCTCCACAGCCACTGTAACGAAACATCTGGCATCTCTCAGTCCTGGGGTTGTAAATGTATCTCCTCACAGAGCCATCACAATCGCCCCTATCAACTGGACTCAAGCAGAATTCTGGGGGATTGAACTCTGAAATGCAACAACAATAGGTCGGCATTATCAGTAGCAGTTAAAAAAATGTAATAAGTAATTTTTTTCCGTGCATAAACTTGTCCTTTCTTCCCCATAAAACAATATAGAGTGTAAGATTGTTTTAATGCGATAACAATATGTTGGCAATATTAGTAGCATAAAAAAAAACACTTTATATACATTCAAACATGTTTATCTGAGACAAAAAGATACATTACATAATAATACATAATAA